GATATGAGGAATGAAGGATGTGAGGGCTTTGTGATTGAGCTGCTCTGAGAGTCAGTTCTGGTTAGATCTCCAACAAGTTACTCTGTATGCCCCATTGTTCTCCTATTAAATTAAGGGACAATAATAATATTGATTTCATGGCCTGTGAAGATGAAACCTGATAAGGCGCATGAAATATTTGGCACAGGAGATCCAGAGCATAATACTTGTTATCACTGTTATCATTGTCTTGATTATTAAATTTGAGATGGGAGAGGGAAGGAAACAATTCTTCTGTTCTACTTTTCAAACCTTCAAACTTACCTAGAGCACACATTTCTGTTTTCACTCACATGCTCTTTTCCTCTATCAAACAAGGACCTCTATCAAACAATATTTTACTCTGTGCTCCTTCTCCCACAAAGTTTTGTAAACAGATGCGACCCAGGGAGCATGAGCACCCAGGGCCAAAGGGTCTCCAGCATTAGGGGAATGTGTAGAAAAGGTCAAGGGCTGTCCACTCACCCTGCCTTGATGATAGCTGGGGAGTAGGTTCATGCTGGTGTAGAACCTCAATGTCATCTTCTTTTTGAGAAATTAGCTGACAGTCATGTCTTGTTCAGGCCATGGGACCCTGCAGCCCGTGCAGAAAGAGAGGTCTCCCAGAACACACACCTGGAGCGTGGGTTATCCTATTCTGCCTCTCCAGTCATGGGGATTTATGCACCGTCCCTTAGGAGTTATGGGGACTGAATTCTGCCCTGGAAATCTATAAAAAGATCCATGACAATCATCTCGTAGGGGTAAGAAGCTGCTGGGGCTTGATGCTTCTGAGCCAAGGTGTCCAGTTCCCAATCCAAGTCCAGTGTAGATTGAAGCCAAGAGTGGCCCCAATAAGCCTAAAGTATCTGATGCAAAATAAATGCTTCCTGTCCCATAGGTATTGCCCTAGATGGGCAACTGAGCCTGCCCAGCCACAACTTGGCATGAGCAGCATAAGAAGCAGAGAACCTTATTGTTTCTTAAAGAGAGGACCTTGCATGGCATCTCTAGGTGGGCTGCTGGGAGCCTGGGCCCTGCACTCTGTGTGTCCCTGGGTGCTGGGCCTAGCCATCCACTGCTCTGCATCCTAACATTATGACAATCCCACTGGAGCATTAGGACCATCGTGGGGCTCCTGGGAGTTGGCAGAATGCATACCATGATTAGGAACGGGGGATCTTCAGATCAGAGATGGGAGAAGGGGAAGGGCGTAAGGAGTCCATTGTGGAGCCTTACAATTGGCTCCCAGGATCAGATCGGGAGTTTTCCTGGTGGGAACAGAAGCACAAGTGACTATCTGTCCATAATGACAAGTCCCTATTTCCAGGCCCCGTGTTTTCTAATATGTGTCTTCCTTTCTTCAAATCTATAACCCAAATAATGCCCAGGCACAGGAAAATCATGCTCATGGCATTGACTCCTTGGCCACTTCAAAGTAAGCCCTACCATCTGGTGGAGCACTTTTTTTAATAGAGCATATTTATAGAGTCCTCCAGAGGGCAGCAGAGAGCAGTCCGGGGGCTCCAATGAGGGACTCGGCGAGAGCCGGGCGCTAGCGGTGGTGGCCGTCACATGCCACTGGGACTGCGGAGGGATGAGGGACGACTGGCTGTTGACTTGGGAGGATTTGAAATTAACAGTAGAAAGGGGGGATGCATCGGATAAGGGAAACTCACGACCCTGAAAAGTAAGGGTGCCCATTACATACAAGAAAACTTGGCAGGTTTGGGAAGTGAGCCATTGCAACGGGCAAACGTTTGCTGTGAGTGATTGTCTGCCTATTGCCACTGACAAGAACACTGGCCTGAAGGCTTCGTGATCTTTTAGTGACATCTGGGGAGGTGTGGCATCGAGTGTGCATCCTTGCTTTGACATTCCTCCCACTGGGCTATGGTGAACATCTGTCTACCCCTCTGGACTGGAGAGCAGGGACCAAGTGCTATGGAAATTTCTGTTTCCAAATCCCCAGCGGGGCACCTGCAACATCCTGGTTGTCAGGCAAATGTTTAGCGGACAAAGTTGAATTATCGGCTGCCAAATCTTCAGAGGTATAAAGTAAGCTGAAAAGACCCGCTTCCCTTTGTGAGAAAGTGTTTGGGTTGTCCCCAGATTTCTGAGGTCAAAACAGAGCCATGTTCATCATCAGCTGTCACAGCATCTCTTTGTGACCATCTGGACCAATGCAGGTGGCTGCCGTCTTGGAGCAATAGTTATGGCCCGTGGGACTCTTCTGCCAGAACAAGTACTGTTCCCGGTGGTGGTTAGGGAACAAGAGCGCAACGGGCAGGGGTCGACGAGCAGCAACCGAAGCCCTGGAGAACATGCACTGCCTTCGCCTTCTCCCTCCGCTCTGGCCGGTGGTCTCTTCGAGCATGAATGTCGTTCTCCAAGCCCGTACGCTGGCATGGCTCGGAGCCGACGGCGCCGCCATCGAGTCTGCTGCTCTCCTCTCCCAGCCCGGAGGCCGGGTCTGCAAGGGAAGTTCCTGCTTTTAAGTGTAGGGACTAACTCGGGAGTCTTGTCCCGAAAGCAGCTCAATCCGGGAAAGTGGGTGAGTGGGAGGTGGGGTTAGCGGGTGAAGGGCAAGTGTGGGTGGGTGGGTACGTGGGGCAGGCAAGGGGGGGATTTGGGGAGATGGGATGGGAAAGGGGACCGTTAGGGATGGGCGTTCTCGCTATCGCTCCAAATCCTCTCTTTATCGATGAGGGCACCGGGATTGTGGCATTACAACCTGGAGGCTTCAGCAGGGAGCGTGTCAGGAGGAGAGGGCTTCCAGGGATGGACTAAAGAGGGGAGAACAAAAGGAAACTGGAAATAAAAAGCGGCAGAAACAGAGAAAGGGCACGTGTGCACGCAATGCAGGGGACCCGGGTTTGAATCTGCATGAAAATCTCTGTAGCTGGGGGGTGGGGATGGGGGTGGGGGAGGACGTATGTGGCCAACGTGTCATGGGAGAGAGACAGGGCGGGGGCAGCCGCGCACGCAGTCATGTCAGTGCCCATACCCGGGAGTCACTTGCTTCTTACTCAGCAGCCTCTTCTCCTTGCTGGCTGAGCAGCTGCTCAAGAGGGAGGCCGGGAGCAAAGGTCGCTACCGTTTTGTGTAGGATTCGGTGCTTGTGAGACAGGCCCTGCCACAGCCTCGGGCCCCTTCCTCCCCGTTTTCCTCAACTGAGCACAGAGAAATGGGGGTGTCTCAGAACACTGCCTGGGGGGGTCAGGAAAGCAGTTTCTACAGCCAGATGCTCCCCTCACCTTTGAAGATGGATGGGAGGAACATGCTTGGTGTGGCTCCCACCTCGCCCCCCTCCGCTTGGGGTCCTGACTGAAAGCCCCCCTCAGGTTCCAGAGCTGCGGAGATCTGTCCACTCATGGACTCTCACATGCACTCATGGACGTGCACACCCTGCGGGAGGGATGGAGGGCGGGTTACCAAGGGCGGCTGCGGCTCCAGAGGCGAAGCGTCCGCAGTGGGTCTGTAGGCCGCACGGGCCCACACGGGACTAAATGAAACGTCTTTGCCTTTCCACAGGAAAATCCGTACTCCGGAGCCGGCATGACTTGTTTGCCCACAACTCAGGTTAGTCCTTCCTCAGCTAACAAATACTCATCGTTTCATGGAGAAGAGTGAGCACACCCCGTAACCACGAATTTGGTGTTTTTACTGCCACAAACATCTTTAACGATGTTCTACAGCTTTAACTCATCCGCGTGTCTGGGGTGAATCATGCTCTTGTTCCAAAGCGGTTTCCAATTCCCCGGCAGCCACTCTGGGTTCTCCAAGGCCGCCTATACCGGCCACTGCGCCTGAAGGTCTCAAGGCGGCTCGGCCCTGTCCTACAAACAATTTCATTTCTCTCCTTCTCAGGAGAACAGAGGGTGGATGATTTCTTTGGGGAGATTCTGGTTTTGCACCTTTTATTACACACACACGGACACACGCACACGCATATGCAATGTCTTACATGTGACTTGTGGAAATCTTGCAGTGGTCTGTGGATCCCTTGAAGCTTATACAAGAATATCAGTTTAAGATGCTTTAGTTTGCATGGAAACATTTTTATTATTTGTGTCTGATACTCAGGATGTTGGGTAGCTGTCCATATTCTCCTCAAAACTCCCTCTTTCAAATGCCTTTACGACCTTTGTCATTTCATGTCTGCTGACGGCTGCCCACTGCTCTTTTGGGGGAGGTGCCTGGCAGGTGAGGTGGTACAGGGTGGCCCCGGAAGTAGCAGGCAGGTTGCCAAGGTTCACAGACATTACCATTAAGGTTTCAAATTCGGCCAGTGGTTTCCTGACATATGTTTTTAAACGCAGGGGGCTGGCCCCAAGCTGTGGTGGCAGTCATGGGGGTCCCAGCTCTCATGTCCCTTCAAAAGAGAACTGAGGGGGGTCAGCTGATAGCCCCCAGCTGCAGTGCCTCGGGATTCACGGCAGGGCTCAGCTGCAGCCCACTCTCTCCCCAGAGAGTTCTCAGCCAGTGACCACCCGGGGCAAGGGTGCCAGGCCTGGCCATTTCTGCCACCGTGGGGCTTCCCTATGAGCAAACTTTGATGTTGTTGGGCCAGCTGAGAGTTTTCAGAGCTGCACCAAAGTCTGAGGCTCTTCCTGCCCATCCTCCCCACCCCATTTCATCATAGGGGTCAGATCTGTGCCTGCTCCTGCATCCTCTCCCCCCATCTTTCCCAGGTGTCCCCCCAATAAATCTCTTGCACTTCTAACTCTGTCTTGGTGTCTGTCCTGGGAGGACCTGCATGGATATAGCTCTGCTCACAGGTGACATTGTTGGTCACTTCACACAATTCCACCTTCCCTTCCCGGATCCCCACCTGCAAATAGCTCCCACCACTTGCCAATCCATTTTGTCACAGAGTTAAGTTTGTTTGGTGTTGGGTTCCATCCTTCTGGCTGTGCAAGTTAGTAGGGTTCATGATACCACCCCATTCAGCATCCTGTAGGGTCCTGAGGCTCCCTGGAGATGAGACAGAATCACGAGAGAGTCAAACACATACTTTATTTATGAATGGAAGTTCTTTCCAGGATCCTGGGTTGGAGAACAGAAACCTCAGGAATGAACCCTTCCACTTACAGGACTCTTCTCGAAAACCAGGTCAATGAGGTCAGCTCCTGAGTCCCCTTTTCCCAGGAGTCCTCTTAGTCCTTCCAAGAGAAAGGACATTCCAGTGTGTCTTTGAATTCTGGTGGGGGTGAGGAGGACAAGGATTCATGCTCTTCAGTCCCTCCCAGAAAGGTCTCCCACCCACCCCTCAATTACTATGGTCTGCTTGTGAGTCCATGATATGTATCAGCTCTTCTCTGTGACAGAATGAAGAGGAGAGATTAGCACAATACAAATAATACATTGACAGCAGCTGGATCCCACATTTTGGAAGTAACATAACAAAGATGGCCCCATGATGTCTTATATTCTATTACTACCGGACAGTATACCAAGGAAAAATGCTCAGGAGATAAACACAGGGTGACACATTGGCATAAGAATGAGACCCATGCACGGTGCAAATCATGGTGTTTCTCACACACGGGAGCTGACGACATTTTTATAAGTTCAAGTGCAGGGCGCTGGACAGTGGGTCAGAGGAAGGTTTGCTGGGCCCTCAGCAGGGATGTTCTGCCATATCTGAACCAGCCATGACCATCCAGTAGTCTCCCTTATTATGTGCAGTGGTGATGCTGTCCAAGCACATCCCTTCAGTTACCCTGGACAGACTGGTGGTTCCCTTGGCAACAACCTCAGTGAACTCATCGCAAAAGGCTCTCGACTTTGGCCTGATTACCCACATTGAGTGCGGGTCTTTAGAATCCTGGGGAGAATGTGCTGCTCAGCTGCCTCCATGCCTGATGGGCAGTCTGGACCCACTAGGACAGGTGATTTAGCCACAGCCAGTCTGGTAGTTTCCTCAAGAGTAGGACGAGTCTTGTGTCCCCAGCTCAGGGCTAAGCGCAGAGCAGGTACTCCACAAATCCTTGTTGAATTCAACCCTCGCCTCTTCAATAGAGAGGATGTTTCCAATTCTTTGACACTTTCTTCGTAGGTATGTCTCATAATCATGCTGGTTCCTTACATACCCCTCTGGACTAAATGATCCACACACGGCACAATTCTTTATTGGAAGTATGACTAATGCTTTGGGCATTGATTTTTTTTTTTTCCCTTAAATTATGTCTTTCATTCATGTATCTGCACTGAGCTGGTTTTATTTAGTTTATTTAATCCTTCCCATGCTGCTTTGCAGAATATGGCTCTTGGGTTGTTCTGGCTTACACTGTTGTTTTGCGACTTCCCCAGGCCTGCCAATACCCTGGTAGGGTTCTAGCCTGCATGGCTGGGAAAGGCTGTAAAGCCCGTGAGCAGCATTGGTCTCCCTCAACGCCGCAAATGCAGAACAGGTGCATCCATTCTTCAAACCACAAAGAGGACATGCATGGATGGTACTTGAGACTTCTGCTTTCAGCCACATCTGGACAAAGCACAAATCTGGGAGACAGAAAGATACTGCATGCTCACCTGCTGGACACCTCAAAGCTCTAGTGGGACAGGCAGGATTAAATTCATGGCTCTTGGTAGACTGACTCCTGTGGGGTGGGTGGGACATCCCAGCCCTTATAGACAGCTGGCCAGTAAAGCCATGGGGGCAGCAAGGGAAGATTCAGAGAATCAGAAGGGAAGATACAAGGTGGCCTCTTCCCACAGTGGGGCTGCAGGGGGAAGCCTCCTCGTTCGTTGGGTATCTGAGCACATGCCTTATGCTGGTAGAAAGCTAAGACTGCATTAGTGTCCCTGCCCTAAGATACCTCACAAGGCCAGGGCAGGGAGTCCATGTGTTTATCCTCCCTGATGGCATCTCCAGCTGTGGGACTTGGCCTGTTAACATCTGATTGGAGAGAGGCAGGCTTTGACATGAAGTCCTCTGCTCTGTCAAAGACCAAAATGTTCTGGAAGAAGGAGAGTACGCATGGTTTTAGGATAAACCAGAGAATGTTTGATATGGATATTGACACGTTTTAGGAGTTGCTACTCTCCAGGAACTGGATATCAAGTCACTGGCCTTGCTATTCCTAGTCCTTTTGAGACCACCAGTTTTTGGTGAAACAAACCAAAAACTCATACAATTCTTGAACCATTGAATGTTAAAAGGGATACTTAGGTTATCTCATCCATGGTTTTACAGATAAGGAAAGAAGCTCAGATAGATTAAGTATGGCGCAGGCCTCCCGATTCTTGGTGTGTAGCTGACATTAGCTTGCATCAGCGGACATGTTCTGCCACACTGGTCGCTCAGGACCGTCCCTAGGGACAGAATGCAGATGAACATGAGGTTCTCAATCTCAGGATGTTTCAGTGCACTGAAATATTGAGGTGCCTAAAGGAAGGCATCCATGCCTCCTTTTCACAGATGCTTAGAAGACGGAGTTAAATCTTTCCTTCAGATTTTACGTAGTTCCTTCTTTTGTTCACCCTGTCGAGTGAAGGTTGATGTGAGGTTGATGTAAAGACTGGCTAAAGGAGGGTAATCTGCACATGACTGAGGACAGCTTCACTGAAGTAAGACAGGGGCTCCAGGCAAATCCAGGTGCTACAGGATTCCTCCTGGAATGAGCCCCCACATAAACCAAAGTTAATTTTAGAATTATGGCATGGATTGCAGGGAAAATCAAGTCCAACCTTGCCATTTTACAAGCTCAGAGAAATTCAATGATTTGCCTTGGGTCACACAGCATGGGGGATGACAAAGTCACAGAAGAATCCAGGGTTTTGTTTTTTTTTTTTTCCTCACAAGCCCCAATGTGAGGGTGTTTCTGATGGTTTCTAGATCAAGGCATTATCCATGCATGGAGTGAAGCAAGACACAGATGGTGGTGGCCGCTCCCGCTGAGGACCTGTGGTCTAGGAGAGCATGTTGGAGTAGAAGCTGAAGCTCTCTGTCACGGTCTTGGAGTCGCTGCGAGAGGAGCCATTGGAGGTCAGGTCCAGGGCCGAGGGTATGGTCTTGGGACCATCCTCTAGCTCCTCCTCGTGGGCCCCCACCACTGTGGAGACGGTGGTCTCCAGGCGGCTGACCTTATACACGCTGCCCTGGGTTTGGAGGTAACGGGTGGATTTCATTTCGAGCCCCTCGTAGTCGCCGGCGCTGATAAAGGGGCAGCACCGGAAGGCATGCTTGAAGCCCAGACGGAACCTGGCGAGAGAGCAGATGCAGAGGTGACCCTCGGGGACAGCTTGCTCCCAGAGGGCATTCCCACCACTATCTCAGCTCTTGCACACGTGGACATACCCGAGCGTGACTCTCTCTTACTGGTTTTTATACCGACAGCTGGAGACATTAAGGTGAAAATGATTTGAAGGTCAGTCATGAAGGCACAGTCCAGGACTAGACCCCAGGCTCGCGTGAAATGCCTGTGCTGACTGAGGGCGACCCCTGAACTCTGCTGCCTCCGCCCACACCTCAGCCCACGCTGGATCGATTCAACACTAATAAAAGCGTCCGCCAAGTGTTTGCTGTGTGCTCGGTACTGTGCTCGTCCCTGGGCAGGAAACCCACATGTCAGGACTCCTGTCTCTCAAGGAGCCCGCTGACTGAGGTTCACTTCAGTCACGTCCCTTCCATGTGCCTCAGGTCCCCGGTTTGATAAACTGGGAGAGTCAGCCTTTACTTAAAGACATACTGGGATATTTAACCCAAGATGAATCCGTGAGTTAACCTAACAGAGAGCATCTGGATACGTTCAAGAGAATGGCTGCCACCAAATTCACAGCACCTGAGTGTCTCATTCACAGAAGGCACTTTATAGGCTGATGACTGAAAGCTAGAAAGACTGTGACAAGCATTTTATTCCTCCCCCTGGCCCTGCCTCCTTTCCCAGCTGAGGGACTGAGCTGCCTCTTGGGGACTCTGCGCACGGACCCGAATTCCCTATGGCGGACCGCTGTCCCTGATGGGCTCCGCCTTCTCTTACTTGTCCAAGGTTGGCTTCTTCTACTAGGACAGTTCTCCTGACCGGTGTGGCCAAGTCAGGGCCGAATCAGGGCCTTTTGCTTACCCTGTCCTGCTGGAGCTGCTGGAAGAAACTGGGGAAAGCTGCCCGGATTGTATGATGGGACGGATGGGAAGAGGAAAGTGAGAGACCAGTGAGGGGAAAGATGCCCCGTGGAGAATGGTATTCTGGTGCCATCGGTGTCTCTGTGTGTGCGTGACTCTCTCTGACTCCCTCTCTCTCTCTCTCCCTCTCTGCACGCACAGCCCCCTGTGTGTGGATCCGTAGGGCAGAGTGACCAAACTCCCAGGCCGTGAACTGGATCCAGCTTGTAGACCTCTTTATATGCATCTATGACAGAGGTTTTTTTAATGTGTACCCCCACCCCCACTACCTTAGTTGCCAGCGTTCAAAAATTAGAAGACCTCACACAAAAATGCAGATTTCTGGTTCTTCTTGGAAAGGAAAAAAAAAGCCCACTTTGGGTTCTTAATCCTGCATGGCAATAATTAGTAGGGATTGAGTGGCGTGGTCATTTTTTGCTGCAGTCCCTACCACTCCCTCTTGTCTCACAGAGGTTCTGCTCACTTAGGCTGGATCCTTGGCCGCTATGGAGACAAATGATCTTGTTGCCCCCGGAGTGAGTGTGGGGGATGGGGTCCTCACCTGTCGTTGAGGCAGCAGTAGATGATGGGGTTGTACATGGTGGAGCTCATGGCCAGCCACATGATGGCCAGGTAGACCTGCTGAATGAACTTCTCCAGGTAGAGATCAGGGTTGATGTAGGGCAGGAGGAAGAAGATGTGGAAGGGCAGCCAGCAGATGGCAAAGGTACACACCACGACGATCATCATCTTGACCACCTGGCAAGAGGGTGAGACAGGTGAGACCACCTTTTCTCATGGTTCTCTCTTCTCCCACCCCCTCGCCGCACACAGTGCAGTACAGGCTGGGAAGTATTGATAATAACCCCTTTCGAGGAGGAGGAAGGACAATTTATGTGCGGTACCAAGGGACTTTGATTATGTCGGTAGTTCTCAGAGTGTGGCTCCGGTCGTGACATCATTTGGGAACTTGTCAGAAATGTGGATTCTGGGACCCCATCCCACACTCACAGAATCAGAAACCTTGGGGGTGAAACCCAGAATTCTGTGTCTGACAAGGCCTTCGGATGATTCTGAGACACACTCATGTTTGAGAACCTCTGTGTTCTATCCTTCTGGGCAGTGAGTGGAGAAGCCGAGGGTGGGCAGACCCAGGGGAATGGGTGTTCAGGGGGTAGAGATCCAGGAAGGGGGAGGAAACAGTGGGGGTGTGTGGGGGGGCAACCAAGGGCCAGGGCAGTACCTGGGCAAGGAAGGGGAAGGGAGGGGTCTGGGGAGCACCAGATGGCTAAAGGGGATTTCAAGGGTTCTTATGAACAGTGAGTGATGTAACATGTTCCTTTTTATCCCCACAAAATCTTCAGAGAAAAGCTAACTAGCATCCACTAATGAGATACTATGTAAAGAGGTACCCAAAGAGAAAAAATTAGAAAGCTCTTGATGTATCGGTTTTCGATATATCTTGTGGATACTATTAAGCGGAAAAAGGGAGGGGAAGAAGTATGTATTTATTGTGTAAAAAAGAAAACAATATATATTTGGCTTATAAATACATTGTAATATCTGGACAGATTAATAACAAATAACAGTGGTTACCGTGGTGTGCATGTGCACGTGCGCACACCTGCACATTTGGGAACTGGGTAGACAGAAGACCTAGAAAGGAGGGAGCCCTTTCATGGTAAGACTCCATATATCTTTGGACTTTTAATTGTGAAATAATTTAAGACTCCCAAGAACTTGCAACAGTAGTACCGAGAGTTCCCAGGTACCTCCAGCGATCTCATCTTACACAACTCTATCACATGATTAATGAGGGAATAAACATTAGCACAGCACTATTAACTCAACTTCAGACTGTATTTGCATTTTGCCAGTTTTTGCACGCACTCATTCTTTTTTGGTGTATAGTTCTATGAAATTGTGTCACATGGATAGATGGTGAAAACCCCACCACAATCAGGATACAGACCTGATCCATCATCAGCACAAAGAAACTCACTCATGCTACCCTTTTATAGGCAGACTCTCCCCCCAGTATAACCCGTGGCAACCCCTGGTCTGTTCTCCATCACTAATTTTGTTCCTTTTGATACTTTTTGATGTTTGAATCAAGTGAATGCATTATTTTGCCAAACTCTAATAACAAAAGAGGACTCAATAGCTCTTCACTGCCTTTGTAGTTAAATGTGTGTGTGTGCGTGCGTGTGTGGTGTATGTGTGTGCATGTTAATAGCTCGACAGGTTGCCAATTACTCTTAAGGCAAGAAGGAAGCGGCTCCTGCCTGTACAGGTGGGCCCAGGTTACAAATAGGACGAAGAAAGGTCTCTTCCCTCCCCCGCCCCACATCCCCGCCCTCCCCTCCACTGTTCCACAGACCCAGGGATGTTCTGTGCTTGCGGCCTCTGGGCCTCGGGAGGCTCTGGGGCTCAGGTGCCTGCCAGCCTATCACCTGCGCCAGGGTGGGTCAGGTGCTGCTTGCTCTTCGATTACCTTGCGCTTGGCAGAGACCTGCTCGTGGTAGCGGTCCGAGGAGTCCCCAGGGATCTCGCTGGCCCACAGAGTGATTCCCACCACGGTGTACGCATAGCCGATCACCAGCAAGGGGAGGAAGTAGATCAGCACAGTCACGCAGATGTGGTACCTGCAACAAGGAGCATGGGAGGGGTCCGTCTGAGAAATAACAGGGGTGGTCAAAGTTTGACAACTACCTTTCTCAGCATTTGGATGACAAGGCACACCCAGGGAGGCTTGCCGCCTGCATTGAATGGTTGGGTGATACATAAATGGATAAACTAGAGAAAACAAATCTCTTCAACGTATGTTCTTCTTGCGGACTCTTTCCATAATAGAGATTCCTGCTGAGATTGAAGAGAAGAATAAACACTGGTGAAAGGGAACTGAATCCGTTGTATACCTATGACAATTTCAGTTGATAGTAAGTTCAATATTCCTTACACTCTCCCTCCAAAAAAACGCAACCTGAGGCTGCATTAATAGAAGTGTAGTCTCTAGAATTGCAGGAGATGCTTGTACCACTCGGTTTATACCAGTCGGATTACATTTAGGCTCAGTTTTGGTGCAGGAGGGTGGGCCAATTTGTACATTCAGATGAGAGCTACTAAAGGGTTGGTGAGCTCTCATCCATTCTGCATGACAAGTGGATTCACAGGTATAAGAATAATTAGCTTGGAGGAGAGAGATTACATTTATCTTAGAACTAGGAGCAGGGGGTGAAAGCACAAAGTATAAGCCCCTTCTAAGCCTGGCCCTTAAAAATGTATCTCCAGATGGAAGCTTCCCGGGTCTCTGAGTTACAACTCGCAGGCCAGATACCATCTGACTTGAGTTTGACTGGAACATGGGCAGGAAAGAAAGCTTTGCCATGTTAAACCACTGAGATTTTGAGGTTTGTTACAACAGCATACCTTATCCTATTCTGTTTAAGGCAAGGATCTTTCTAAGTAAGACACTCAAATAATTTTTTTGAATTTTGAGAAAGGATATTTTTCTCAGGGGGTCCTTGACTTGTCTGGCTAGTTGTAGCCCCTTTCACCTGATGTGAGCTTAAGGGAGAGGCTCAGTCTCCTAATAGTAATAATCGTAGTGGGAACAGCTAATATTTTGGGGAGTTCACTCTAGATCACTGTGCTAATAATAATGTATGGTATTCACAGCAGAAAGGGTAGTTAGATTTTAATTAGTGAAGAGCACAAAGCCAAGCACTCAACTACTCAACTATATTATTCTTATTTGATCCTGAAAACAAATGATTAGGTAGCTACCATCATAATCCCATTTTATAGATGAGGAAACTGAAGGTTAGAAATTAATTAACTTTCCCAAATTCACAGCTGCTAAAAAGAGGAGCTGGGATAAGAAGGCAGGACTGTGACCCCAGAACCAGCTTCTTGTCACTGGAGAAAAGTCACCCAATGATATTTTCTTCCACTCTGTTTATGCTTATTCTCTGAAATGATTTTTTTTCCCCAATAAGGAAAACCCACTTCTTTATTTCATTTCTCTCCTTTATCGGTACTATGTTTTCAATCACTTTTTTGCCCCACAGTTTTACTACTTATTCAGCTTCCTCTGAATATTAAAATTTGCAACTTGAGGACACTTGAAGAGCTCTTAAGTAGCGCACCGCAGATCAGCAAAGCAGGGTGCTGAGCGCGTCCATTTTGTGCAGACAGGCTGCTCCGGTCTCATCAGGCTAGGGGTCAGGGACATGATGGGAGGACCATGCAGTCCTCACCTGTGCTCCTTATCCTAGACCAGTGGTTCCCAAACTTGAGCCAGCTTCAGAATCACCTGGGGGACTTGTTTGAACACAAAGGGCTGGACCACACCTAGACGTTCCCACTTAGCAGGTCTGGGGTACACCTGAGAATCTGCATTTATTTTTTTATTTATTATTTTTAAAAGATTTTATTTATTTTGTTTGAGAGAGGGAGAGAGAGCGAGAGAGCATGCGCATGAGCAGGGGGGAGGGGCAGAGGGACAAGCGGACTTCCTGCCGAGCAGGGACCCTGCCACGGGGCTCGATCTCAGGACCTTGAGAACATGACCTGAGCCAAAGTCAGACACTTAACCAACTGAGCCACCCAAGCGCCCCCTGAGAATCTGCACTTATAACAAATTCCTAGGCCATACTGCTGCTGCTGGTCCAGGTTCAGACTTTGAGAAACACTGTCCTAAATTGATGGCTCTCAAGCCCGGAATCATGAGAATCACCAGGGGAGCTTTTAAAATGATCAGTGCTCAGAGATGGACATTTAATTGGCCTTGAGTGTAGAAGCAGGAAACCACAGTTGAGAAAATTTTCCAAGTTATTCTGATACTTGGTTAGCCCTGAGAAACACTGTTTCAGGTCCAAGGTCTGCAAGCCTGTTGGAAACCCCATTGTTTGAGATTTATGACTTCACTAAAGTGTGTGTTAACCATATTTTTTTAGTTTCTGTATCTGGTGCTTTGAGGTCTGGGCCTTGCTGACCTGGAAAGGACTGTCCCTCCTTGTGCCAGTTGATTCTTAGAGATAACTCGTGCTGGGGTGACTTTCATATACAAACTAACCAACCCAGGGCCCATACCCCCGACCTGTTTTCTCAGGGGCTCTTACACTGTGGGATGCTATCTGGCGGCCATAGTCACCCCAGGGCCACCTCGGGCAGTCAGGGGCGCGGAACCCACGGAAATCGTTCAAACTAGCCAATTCTAAGCCTGTTTACCCTGCCTCACCCATTCCTTCCCTGGAACACATAATAAAGTCTTTCCTGAAGTTCCCCCATGCTCCCTCTCTGCCTGTGGCCCTGCGTGGCACGTCTGCCCCTTCGTCCTGGGAACTATGAGTAATAAATTATCTTTTCAATGGCAATCATGTCCTCATCTATTGGCCTCACCATACCTGAATAGAAAATAAAACTTACACTTTAAAACAAAGTGCCCTTTGGAAAATCACAGATCAGATTAGACTATTAGGAAAATGCGAAGCTGAATCACCAAACATAACTTATCAACCTCACTTTTTCATTTTTTCCCCCAAGTAGGCTCCAGGCCCAGCATGGAGCCCAATATGGGGGTTGAACTCACAACCCTGAGATCAAGACCTGAGCTGAGATCAAGAGTCGGACGCTTAACTGACTGAGCCACCCAGGAGGCCCCAGCCTTTTTTTTAAGAAGGAAAAGTTATTTTTTTATTTATTTGTAAACAACAAAAAGTATGGACTTAATTTCAGTTAAAAAGTATTATAGGGGCGCCTGCGTGGCTCAGTCATTAAGCGTCTGCCTTCGGCTCAGGTCATGATCCCAGGGTCCTGGGATCGAGCCCCGCGTCAGGCTCCCTGCTAGGCGGGAAGCCTGCTTCTCCCTCTCCCACTCCCCCTGCTTGTGTTCCTGCTGTCACTCTCTCTCTCTGTCAGATAAATAAAATAATAAAATTTAAAAAAAAGTATTATAATCAGGTAGAGCATTAACTTGTCCATTCTAGAACAGGGATGATGAAGAATAACAGAAATATGACTCCGCGATTCCACTTCTAGATGTATACTCAGAAGATTTGGAGGCAGGAACTCAAATAGATACTTCCACACCAATGTTCCTAGCAGCACTATTCACCATAGCCCAAAGGTGGAGATAACCCAAATGGCCCTCAAAAGTTGAGTGGGTAAACCAAATGTGGTATATACTTAATGATGGAATATTATTCAGCCATAAAAAGGAATGAAGTTCTGATACCTGGTACAAAATGGATGAACCTTGCAAACATTATGTTAAGTGAATAAGTCAGACACAGGAGGACAAATATTGTACGATTCCACTTATATGAAATATCTAGAATAGGCAAATTCATAAAGACAGAAAGTAGAATAGAGGTTGCCAGGGGCTAAGAGGAGAGGATGAGATAATAGGTACAGAATCTGGGATAATGGAAAAGTTCTGGAAACGGTTTGTGGTGATGGTTGCAACAATACCAGGAATGTATAATGGTAAATTTTATGTTATATATATTTTATTGCAATAAACTTAATTTAAAAATCCATTAAGAACATTCTAGTGGAGCTGGGGTCTTTAGGTCTTCAGATGCACAGTCTTCTCCCTCCGGGAAACTCTCAACAACCTCCCTCTCCAAAATCATTAAAAAACCCAAACCAACCTGTAGGTTTGGTTCTTGGATGGGATCAAAGTTTAAATGCATCCCCCTAAATCTTGCTTAGAAAACCCCTTTTACATAGAAATTGCAAATACTCAATTTAAGCAATGTCTGAGTTATCAAAACTTCTAAATGGCTCTCAGTCAAATGAATGAAACTCCCTCAGTAGAAGATATGAAAATAAATACATTTCTCCCATCTTGACACTTTCTTGGAGAAATTTTATCATATCCTTGTAGTTAATTGGAGATAATCCTGTTTTGTAGTTTTTTTTTTTTGCCAACATCATTATTTTAGAGAGCTGGCCAATGGAACCTGTGTAATCTTATTATGTGTGGCTCCATGCTATTGTTTGGCTCTCAACTCTGATATTCCCTAGGTTCCTGCCAGGCAGGGTTTTATCAGCTCTCAGAATTAATATCTGCCTTGGCAGAAGAGAAGAGGGGTCAGGGATGCATCAGAGTGAGTCAGAGAGGGGACCAGGAGGGACAGCAAGAGGCTGTGACAGGCCGATGGCTTGGCTGCCTTCCCACTTGATGAGATACGTGCATGGACTCTGATCATTAAATTCTGTTGGTGGAAACAGCACATTTTACAGGATAAACTTGCTGAGTACAGACTGTGTCATCCCAAATCCTGCAGATTCGCCTGTCCTGAATGCCTTAATGCTCACTAATCCAGGTTTACTTAATGTCTCACTATCTGGAGTCACCTCGTTGTTCAAGCACCAACAGTTCCAGTCTCTGAAATAATCCCCAGCATCTGAAATCAGATACATGGGTGTATTAAATAGTATCCAGCACATCTTCTAATGCACTTCTTTGAGGCTCTAGGTGCCCTGAGGTGGGGGAGGAAGGGGGTTGAGAGGGCAGGGCTCTGGGGTTCCTGCTTTCACTCTAACAAGCAACTCTGCTTTGCTGGGTTTACGTGTGACTTTCTGTGGATGATGCTGTTTGGTGGTGGTGGGGGAGACTTCAGCTGTAACAAAAAGG